ATAAATACACATATCTAAGCATTATTGATTTTGCTGTTCTAGAAAACCCAGCCTAACACAAATTCCATGCATAGCAAATAACAACAGTAAAAAATAAAACAAAATTCATGGCTATAGCCTCAATTTTGACTCATGACCCCATGTGTGTCAGAGCATACCTGGGCTCCATAGCTGATTTTTGGGGGAATAGATAGTCATGTCTTTCTTCCAGGACACATCTGGGTGAATTAGAACTACTAAGTGCATTAACCACTTGCATTATCCAGGTAGTCCTATCCCACAAAACACAAATGGCTAAAGTGTGTGACTACTAACTGAAAGGTCAGTGGTTCACATTCACCCAGAGGTGCCTCCTAAGAAAGGCCCAGTGGACGAGCCAGTCAGGGTGCGATGTAGCAATGATGAAAAACACAACTTACCTCTAGTTCCTAAATGCTTCCTCCTTCCCCACCTCAACTATCATGATCCCAATTCGACCTTGCAAGTCTGGCTAGACCAGAGGATGTACACTGGTACAGATAGGAACTGGAAACACAGGGAATCCAGGGCGGATGATCCCTTCAAGACCAGTGGTGAGAGTGGCGATACGGGGAGAGTAGAAGGAGAGTGGGTTGGAAAGGGGGAACCGATTACAAGGATCTACATATAACCTCCCTGGGGGATGGACGGCGGAAAAGTGGGTGAAGGGAGATGTCGCACAGGGCAAGATATGACAAAATAATAATTTATAAGTTATCAAGGGTTCATGAGGGATGGGGGAGTGGGGAGGGAGGGGAAAAATTGAGGACCTAATGCCGGGGGCTTAAGTGGAGAGGAAATGTTTTGAGAATGATGAGGGCAATGAATGTACAAATGTTCTTTACACAATTGATGTATGTATGGATTGTGATAAGAGCTGTATGAGCCCCCAATAAAATGATTTAAAAATAAAAGAGCCAATCCTTCTGTCATGACAATCTAAATATTATTAAGATCCATACAAACAAATGACATATTTATCCTTTAAATAATACCATTTTAAAAGGTTATAAATGAAACTCTTATAGTTTTATTTTCATTTTCAATTTTACTTCAGAGCCACCTGTACATACTCAAAGCGCTGCACATGGTATGCGCGATGGGCTGCTCTTTGCTGGCCCGCGCCACAGACCAGCAGAAAACACCACCAGACTAGGTACCCTGGGGTCAACCCCAAGGCGCGGAGATCCGTGCTTGTCAGAGTCGAACCGTGTGGCAGAGGGATTCAATGGCTCGTTTTCCAGAAATAGATTGCTTGGCCCTCCTGCCAAGGTGTCTCTGAATAGATTCAAAGCGCTGAGTGCATTGGCGATGTGCCCCTCCAGGCCCTCCAGCTGTACCCCAGTGGCCTTTAGGTTGGCTGTATGTTAAAAAGAGTCATCCAGGGACCAGCGGCGCATCACAGCTGCTTTATCAGAATGTCACAGCAGGAAGTAAGCAGAAGCAATTTCCAGAGCACCAAAGGTGATTGCCAAGTGCAGTCAAGCTTCAGAGCAGCTGTTCGGGATGAATGCTTCTCCAAGTCTGGGGTGTGTGTGTGTGTGTGTGTGTGTGTGTAATGCAGATTCCTATGCTTCTCCAAGTCTGGGGTGTGTGTGTGTGTGTGAGAAATGCAGATTCCTACGCTCACCAGTCCTATAGACCCGGTATCTCCAGGTGTGGTCTCCGGAATGTGTCTCTAACAGGCTCGCTGGGTGGTTCTGAAGCACGCTGAAGGCGGAGAACCACCACTAGACTGTTTACCACCCTGTTTCCCCGAAAGTAAGACATCCCCCGAAAATAAGGCCTACTCCCAGTTTTGCCTCTCACTGAAACATAAGGCACCCCCGAAAATAAGACCTCCCTGAAAATAAGCCCCCCCCGAAGCTACCGTAACGCTGGACTTTGCAGCTCACTGTTGGCCGCAGCGCAGCCAGAGCAGACAGGAAGTGCAAGGTCTCTTTTAATAAAACAATAAAATAATAAACAATCAATGTGTACCGTATTCTTCTTCATGGGAAAATAAGACATCCCCTGCAAATAAGACCTAGCGCATCTTTGGGAGCAAACATTAATATAAGACACTGTCTTACTTTCGGGGAAACAGGGTAGTCTATTGGTTTCTCGAGATGCAGCGTCTGCCTCCCTGCCTGCCACACTGGTTGTATTGCTTCTCAAAGATATCAGGCTTCCATCTCAAGACCGTTGTACAGTGTATTTTTACTTAGAAGATGCTTCATTTTCTTTCTTCCTTCCTTCCCTCCCTTATACCATCCTTCCTTCCTCCCTCTCTCCCTCCCTCCCTCCCTCTCTCCCTCTCTTCCTCTCTCCTTCCCTCTCTCTCTCCCTTCCTTTGCCATCAGTAAATTGCCAGAGACAATAGTGATGAGACTGTAATTCCAGAAATCTTATGGGAGAAGAGCAGGTGCTGGAGGGACAGTTTATTTGGGACAGTTTCGTGAACTGCATCCGCCTGTTGATTGGACTGGATTTCCCCGAGATGGTGGGAAGGAAGAGGTGGACAAGGTGGCACTGACTGAAGAGTGGCCTCCCTGGGCAGACAGCCTGGGAAGTTGTGCCCGGAGACACACTAAATGTGCCCAGCAGGACCAGGGAGATTCTGCTGGTGGGGCCTTTGTCTGGGAACGGATCCTGCAGGAGACACAAGAAGACAATACTAGGTGCTGAGCGATGCCCCCACGTGGAGAAAACTGCCATCTTGCCTGGTGAAAATAAATACTAGTGATGAGAACTTGTGGAGCAGGAAATTATTTCAATCTCTCAAATCCTGCTTAATTAGAAAAGTGTGATTTAAAGTTCATCTTATTCAGATCATGTTTGTTATAAAAAATATAGCACATTTGCAAGTTCAGCATCTTCACGGGTGTAATTTAGTGACAAATTACACAATCATGTTGTGCAATCACCACCAGTATGTTACCAAATTTTTATGACCATAAACAGAAACTCAGTTTGTCCTAACAATAATTCTTCCTTTTCACCTTCCTACCGCTCCTAGTACCTAGCATTAAACTTTGATATCTGTACATTTGCCTATTCTGAGTATTTCATATACCGTATATACTCGAGTAGAAGCTCACCCAAATGTCAGCCGAGGCACCTAATTTTACCACAAAAACTGCATTCAAAGTGTGCCAAAAAAACCTCGGCTTATACACGAGTATACACGGTGCATGAAATATAGGTGTCCTTTTGTGACACATTTCATTTGATATGAGGTTTTCAAGGGTCTTCGTGTTGGCCCATCCATCAAAACTTCCTCTCTTTGTGGTGTGTAATAGATCAGTCTGTGTACAAATACATACACCGTATTTTGTTTAGTGATTCAGCTGCTGATAGACATTTGGATCGTTCACACCTGTGGGCACTGTGAATAGTGTTGGAATGAACACTGGAGTGCAGGTGTCTGTTTTCCAGTCGTTTGGGTGTATACCTAGGAGTGGAATTGCCTGGTTCTTCTGATAGCTCTGTTTCACTTCTTGAGGGCCACCAAGCTCTTTTCCGTAAAAGCTGTGTCATTTGTATTCCTATCAGCAGTGGAACAGGGCCCCAATGTTTTCATATCCTCACCATTATTTGTTATTTTATCTTAGCCATCCTGGTGGGGCTAAAGTGCTCTCTCGTTGTGCTGTGACCTGCTTGCTTGCGTTCGGGTGATATTCCCCAAAATGTTGGACTCTGAGCTATGTGGTTATGCTGTGGTGATTAAATGCCATTGTATCAGTTCAGACCCATAGTAGCCCTGGGTGCAACGCAATAAAACACTGCCTGGTCCTGTCCATCCTCACAATTGTTATGTTTGGCCCTGTGGTGACAGCAACTGTATCAACTCACCCCTTCCTCTTTTTCACTGCCCACACATGAAGTCCTTTTCCATGGACCGATCTCCCCTGACAGGTCCAAAGTATGCGAGACGAAGTCTCGCCATCCTTGCTATGAAGGAGCATTCTGGCTACGTTGGCTCAAAGACTGATTGGTTTGTTCTTTTGGCAGTCCAAGGCATTTCAGTGGGTTTCACGAACATCATCATTCAAATACACCAATTCTTCTACAGTCATTTTTACTCATTGTGCATTTTTAATATACATATGAGGCAATTGAGAACACCATCGGTCAGGAGTACCTTAGTCCTCATGCCTTGCTGTCTAGAACTTTAAGAAGGTCTCATGCAGCAGATTTGCCCAATATGATGTCACTGGGTTTCTTGACTGCTCCTTTCATGAGCATTGATTGTGGAGCCAAGCAAAATGAATGCATATGCATGGGGAAAAGCATAATATAGGTAGGATTTGGTACGATCCCTGGGATCACAGTTCTACTGGTGATCTTGGAACATATTCCCCATGGATAAGGATGGTGATACTGTACATAACTGCCAGCCCTCTGAGAATTAAGGGCCGGCCAAGTTGACACACAACCTTAACCATCATTACTCCTGCTTTGGACCTTAGTATTCCTTACTAGAAATCATCAGATAGCAGAATATCTACTTTTTGTGGTAAATGCAAAATATCAGATAAGGAGATAGTCAATAAATGAGTAGGAGTATTAACCAAAATACTTGTTTACATGGACCTTTAAAATTTTTTTAATATGCCAGATAACATAGAAATCACTGTCACTTTGTTAACCCCTTGCGAATTAAAGATGTTTATTGACTAAGCATCTATGTTTTTGTGCCTGAAATAAGATGGATTGGTAAATAGTTGTGGACTTTAGACACGAAACAACAAACGAACGAATAAACAAAGCCTTATTCACACAGTGGTCAAGCGCTTAGCTGCTCTCCAAAAGGTCAACTACTTGAACCCACCAGCTGCTACTGGGTACCAAGACAAGGCACTTTGATTCCATAAGGATTGCAGCCAGGTGGGAAAGGTCTATCTTGGCCTACAGGGCCACTAGGAGTTGGAATTGACTCCATACTAGGGGGTTTGCTTTGGTTTGAGTCATGATAAAACATCTATACAATTTCTTTTCTTTCTGCACATGCTCAGTTGGCAAACTCTTGACTCTGAGAAAGACAGGTTAAGTGACATTGGGTTAAGTAGTCAGGTTACGTAGTCATCAGCAGTAGAGAGTTTAATTACCAGATTTTTATTGGGAAACTGTCAGAGTGACTGGATTTTGAAAGACGATCAGGTAATATTTCTAATTTGTTCTCTTGTTCTGAGCAGACAGCTCTCCTTTCTGGATCATAAGCTTGGGAGAATGCACTGCAGACATATAATCTGAGCCCACTAGGAGGCTAGCACAGACTAGATCTATCACCTTGCATGTGTGTGTTGGCTGGTAGAATGTCAGCTCTTGGCCACGGAACGAGAACACAGACAACAGCGGCTGAGACACCATTGACCTTTGCCCTTCATCTAATACACAGCTGGACCAGTAGGCTTAGATTCCAGCAGTGCACTGCACGGCACTGGGAGGGTGGAGAGCAAGATCACAGGCAGACAGAGGGTATGAGGGGAAAAGGAGAGGTCGTAACAGATCCGGGGACTTCTGGAGAGTATCCTGGGTCAGCCAGCCAGGCCCACCAGCCTGATGGGCTTCACACTCTCCTCATTCCTTTTCCCATGAGGCAAGCGAACACTGTCATCACCATCTTGGGGTTCACTTCAACCAGGTCTTCTGGAAGGGCATATACTCGGGCCCCGATTTTTCGAGCCATGGAGATGGCATATCTGAAAGGAAGAAAAGAGGGAAGATGGGGGGAGTTGAACGAGGTAGAAAGGTTTGATGCTTGGCCAACTTCAAGCACAGAACTCATCGCAGATATGCCCAGAGCCAGTCACCGGCTCCCTCCCACTTCTTAGATGGACACGGTTCCTGACACCCGCAAACTTTCTGTGTAGCCTCATGACAACCACAAACTTATAATTGGTCCTTGGAGACGATGCTAGACCCCACGTCCTTGTTTTCTTTAGCCCCCATGAGTCTTCTCATGGGCTACAAGGCATTCGGCTTGCTTGGCTGTTAACCAGAAGATTAGAAGTGCTCCTGGCAAGCCAGGCCTGGTGATCTACTTCTAAAAAGCCAGCATTGAAAACCCTGTGCAGCACAGTTCCACGCTGACCCAGTTGGGGCTGCCACGAGTCAAAAGAAACTCCACAGCCACCGGGTGGGTTACGTGGCCCAACTCTGAGAACAGAACGGGAATCTGTGCTAAAAGAAAAAATGTTTGTGGTTACCACGAAATGAGATCTTATTTCAATCCTATCACAACAGTACTATTAAGAGAAGATAACAGATGATCGCATAATTCTTCTTGATATGATTGAACTCTTGAATTGTATAGTGTTTGATTACATCCTGATAAAACCATTAAAAGAGAGAGAGAGGAGATAACAGAACTGTGTACCATGTTTCACTGACTTCAAAAGGGGGAAAGAAAATCACATCGAATGAAATACTGGAGAGCCTTCCTTGGAAAAGGGGTCTCTCTGCATCTCCTCACGGAAGTGGGATAAGTGGGGTTCCCGTATTTAAAGGGGTAACTGACTTGGTCAGTGCAGAAGCATAACCGATGGATTCTATTATGTCAACCCACATATTACATGACTGACCCTAAGCTTTGATGTCCCAAATCCCCAAGACTGTGAACTATGACCTTCTCCCAAATGCACAGCGACATAAGAGGAAGTTGCCGGATCATCCTTTTCCTTAGCTTCTGTTCATCTGCCACTCTCAGTGTCACTCATCTCTCTTTCCTGATCACGTGATCTGCCACTCTCAGTGTCACTCATCTCTCTTCCCTGATCACGTGATCTGCCACTCTCAGTGTCACTCATCTCTCTTCCTTGATCACGTGATCTGCCACTCTCAGTGTCGCTCATCTCTCTTTCCTGATCACGTGATCTGCCACTCTCAGTGTCACGCATCGCTCTTTCCTGATCACGTGATCTGCCACTCTCAGTGTCACTCGTCTCTCTTTCCTGATCACGTGATCTGCCACTCTCAGTGTCACTCATCTCTCTTTCCTGATCACGTGATCTGCCACTCTCAG